GGCTTTCGAGCATTAAAGGCACAAAAAGGGCTTAGGTCATCATTGCAAGTAGCAGAGATAGGGCGCCCCTTCTCCACCCTAAACCCTAAACCCTAAACCGTAAACGCTAAACCCTAAACCCTAAACCCTAAACCCTAAACCCTAAACCCTCGCCCTAAACCCAGGTACACAGCTCTTACGGCGGCCGGCGTCTTCGACTTCGAGACGGGCCTGAAGGCTCGACTGGGCTTTGAGTTGCGGGCGTTCGGTGATTTTAGGATTTCGTAGCAAGTTTGTGGCAGAGAAACCCGAAACCCGAAACCCTAAGCCCTAAGCCCTAAACCCTAAACCCAAACCCACTACAGAAGCCCCCACATGCTCCATGATGCTGCAGTTACATCTGGCAGGGATGGCAAGATCAGGGGGCTTGGGCCCTCAACCCTCAACCCTCAACCCTCAACCCTCAACCCTCAACCCTAAACCCTAAACCCTAAACTCTGCTTGTTTGGGTTTAGGGTGAAACCAGATCGACCCAAGCCTGGCAGGTTGTCAAGCTCCGCGGTGAGGCAATGCAGGCGCTGGGGATGACACTACTGTGCGACCAGGGTTTAGGGTTTAGTATTTAGGGTTTAGGGTTCCAAATCCCTACTGGGTAGCTCTAAGTAGGGTTATAAAATGGTAACTTTATTTAGGGTAATTACTTAGAGCCCTACTTATAAGCACACTCCCTGTTCGGGATCGAGCTTAGGCTTCAGAGGCTTAGTTTCGGATTTGTGCTTGGGTTCGGACAAAGCCAGATTTCCTGAACACCTAAACCCGCTCGCTCAAGTGAAAAACCGGTATCGACAGACCAATCAAATGCCGTAGGCGCTTGAGGAGTAGCCCCCCCCCCCAAAAAAAAAAAACATAAACCCTAAGCAGATCGAAACCTAAATCATAAACAAGGCGAAGCCCTAAACCACAAACAAATCAAAACCATGAACCCTAAACCCTGAACCCTAAACCCTGAACCCTAAACCCTAAACCCTAAACCCTAAACCCTAAACCCTAAACCCTAAACCCTAAACCCTAAACCCTAAACCCTAAACCCTAAACCCCTTCGAAGGAGGCAGCCGCGGCTTCCCAGCAGGCGATGCTCTCGGTGGCGGGACTTGGGAAGGCGCGACGCGTGCGCATGTCGGGGCTTCGAGTCTTTTGGGATCTGAGGATCTAAACTTGGGGACGTTCTAGGGTTTAGGGTTTAGGGTTTAGGGTTTTGGGTTTTGGGTTTTGGGTTTCGGGTAAGTTGGGAAGATTGTTTAAGGATGATTAGAGCTGGGATTTCTTTATCTGGGGTATGGGGGATAAGCATGTTCCAACTTTTGGAGTTTACCGTAAGAACCTAGACTTAGGGACGTTGAGGGTTTCGGGGTTTGGGTTTAGAGATTGAAGCCCCTAGGCTGGTTGGGATGGTTGTGGCCAGGGTTTAGGGTTTAGGGTTTAGGGTTTAGGGTTTAGGGTTTAGGGTAACTGGGTAGGATTGCTAGGCATTTGCTGGTGTAGAGTGGGGTGGTTTTGTCGGTGTCGGCGATTGAGTTCGTGGCTTGGCGATATTCCTTCTATCACGACGTAATCTGCTCAGGCATTTGTAGAGACCCTAGCCCTAGGCCCTGCTGAACCCTCTTGGCGCCTCGGTGTGAGCAGTGCTTGTGACCAAAAACACGTTTCGGCAAACACAGGCCTAAGCCCTCGTTTGTTTTGCACTGCGGCATCCGTACCCCCCTAGGATTGTTTGTTTATATGAACCCATGCAAGAGAACATTGAAGGTATTACTTTGGATGTTCCCCCTTCTACTAATAGCCCTGAATAGGGATTATGGTAGGGATACTAGAATCCCTACCAAGGACTGTTGCCCTAAGGGGGAACATCCCAAGATTTTACTTCCCTAAACCCTAAACCCCTAAACCCCTAAACCCCTAAACCCCTAAACCCTAAACCCCTAAACCCTAAACCCTAAACCCCTAAACCCAAAACCCCTAAACCCCAAAAAAGTATAGGCATTCGCGCCCCCAGGAGATCCTCGACCAGCTCTGCAGCGAGTCCGTTGAAGATGCCAGCGATGTCTGCCAGGCTTAGGGTTTAGGGTTTAGGGTTTAGGGTTGTTTGGTTTAGGGTTTGGGGTTTAGGGTTTAGGGTTTAGGGTTTAGGGTTTAGGGTTTAGGGTTTAGGGTTTAGGGTTTAGGGTTGCTGGCAGCCTCCAAAGTCTGTTGCTCAGGGTTTAGGGTCTAGGGTGTAGGGCTTCGGGCTTAGGGTTTAGGATTTAGGGGGTGTAGGGGGTTTCGGGGGTTTCGGGGGTTTAGGGGGGTTTAGGGGGTTTAAGGGTTTAGGGTTTAGGCTTCGCGGGCTTCGGGTATTGCCGCAGCCCTAACACTTGCCAGCCTTATCCCATATTCCCTTATGATCCCGATTTGCTTTGAACTGTAAATACGCTAAACCCTAGATCCCAAATCCTAAACCCTTATAAGCCCTGAACCTTAATGATCTCGATCTGCTTTGTAGATGAAAGACGACCCCCCGCCCTTAAGTCTCACATCCTGATGGACAAGGCATCAACACCCAACAAAAGCGGCTTCGAGCGCTACAGCGCTTTTTAGGCTTGTAGCGCTAAACGCATAGCTTACCCCTGAACCAAACCCTAAACCCTAAACCCCAAATCCTACACCGTAAACCTTGCTCGCAGGTCTTTTTGGTCTTATAGGATTGCGGATGGTTGACGAACACTGCAGGTGGCCAACTTTCTGTTTCCGAATGGCTTCTCCTGCGTGGCTGAGCAGCAACGGGGGCGGCTGAGGGCTTCGGGCTTAGGGATGTTTAGGGTTTAGGGTTGAGGGGGACTTCCTGGCCCGAATGGTTGAGGCTTGAGGGTCCAGGCGATTTTGGTTTTGGGGGATTTCCACTTGCAGAACAGGTCTGTAAGTCCATGGACTGGGACGGGGACCGAGCCTGTAAGTAGTGCGGAACCCCGCCCAAACCAGAAACCCCTGAACCCTCAAGCCTCAACCCAATTGGGGCCCTCGAGCCACCCTAAACCATATAAACCCATGCGATACACCCTCCCCCGCCCGAGTACTGTGAACCGACTGGGAGCAGAACTGAGGCATGGGGTAAATGAAGATCTTGCATTGTTGTCATACATAACTTGACGTAAAGGGTGAACCGAGAGTACCTCAGGAGTGGATAACCATCCACTGCATGTATCACCATGCAGTCCAATGGGTTTGTCAGAGAAGCATACTGGACAGTGTGTGCCTCGCCTGGCTTGTCCGGGTGTGAGCGGTTAACCCCTAAACCCTAAACCCTGAACCCTGAACCCTAAACCCTAAACCCTGCCGCACGCCCCAAACCTGAATCCTGAGCCCAGAAGCACCCGACCCTAAGCCCTAAACCCTAAACCCTACGTCCGCATGACCGATTGCATAAACCCTAAGCCCTAAACCCTGAACCCCAAACCCCAAACCCTAAACCCTAAACCCGAAACCCTAAACCCTAAACCCTAAACCCCCCAAACCCTGAAGCCTAAACCGCCCACCCTCCAGGCGGGCACAATGGGGGCGATCCAGCGCCTAGAGACCAAGGTCAAGGCTACAGATCCTTGGATGGCGTATAGGGTTTAGGGTTTAGGGTTTAGGGTTTAGGGTTTAGGGTTTAGGGTTTAGGGCCAAGGCTGCCTAAAGCCTTGAAGAAAATGCGGGTAGGTCTGAGGGCACATCTCAGTGTTTCTATTGCCACGATATGACTTCCTTAGTCCCTCCCCACCACCGGGAATTTGATGGTGGTCTGGTACGTTTCGAGGGTTTTTTCGGATGATCTGGGTCTTTAGGGTGTAGGGTTCTCCAAGCCCTCGGGGTTGGGGTTTAGGGTTTCGGGTCTCTATTTCGAATTGCGAAACCACGAAACCACCATCCCCATGCACCCTAAACCCTAAACGCTAAACCCCATATTCTAAACCCTAAACCCTAAACCCTAAAACCTAAACCCTAAACCCTAAACCCTAAATCCCATCCAAGGAAGGATGCCTCCAAGCCAAGATGCTGAAGACCTCCGGAGGCTTCCACACGAAGCTGATGGAGCCGGCCAGGGAGCCTCCGGCTGGTTTTGGGGCTTTAGGGTTTGGGGTTTAGGGTTTAGGGTTTAGGGTTAGGGTTTTTAGGGTTTTTTTGGGTTTAGGGTTTAGGGTTGTAGGGCTTCAGGGTTTTGGGTTTAGGGTGGAGGGAGCTCGCCAGGGAGCCACTGGCTTGATCCTAGGATGGTTGGGATGTTGCTGAGGGGTTTCAGGGTTTTGGGGTTTCGTTTTTTTTTTTTTTTTTGGGGGGGGGGGTTTTAGGGTTTTGTGGTATTAGGGACTTAGGGGTTTTTAAGTATTTAGGGATTTAGGGGTTTTTAGGCTTTTAGGGTTTGAAGGTTTTAGGGTGTTTGGGTTTTTGGGTTTGGGACAAGTTGTCGGTGGCAACGAGACCATCCAGGCGAGGACTTCTGCAAGCCTGTTGGAAAATTGGTTTCGGGTTTAGGGTGTTGCTCAGGGTTAGGAGATTGAAAGGGATGACTGCCCGCTGGCGGATTCCCAGCTTTGGAGCTTCGAGGAAATGCATCAACACCACCCGAGAAGGTGCAGATTCAAAGCCATGTTGAGTAGTCAACCCTATTTTAGGGTTTAGGGTTTAGGACCCTAAACCCTAAACCCTAAACCCTAAACCCTAAACCCTACATAAGGTCATGAGTATATAGTTACCCTTATAGCTATACCCATGAACCTCCGAGCAGGGCCTGGAGCATTGCAACTTTGGGGCCCCGTTTAGGGTTTAGGGTTTGGGGTTTAGGGTTTAGGGTTTGAGGCACCCCTTCTTGGTCCGGAGCCCCCAACCCTAAACCCTAAACCCTAAACCCTAAACCCTAAACCCGAAACAACGTGCGCTTCCGCAGTGAGATGTCGGCTCTTGCTAGTTTCCCTCTTCCAAGAATTTAGAGATTTTCGGTCCTTGGCATGGTGGGCCTGGCAGATGAGAGCTGGCAGGCGATCGCCTTAGCTTCTTGGGTACAGGGTTTAGGGTTTAGGGTTTAGGGGGTAGTGTTAGGGTTTAGGGTTTAGGGTTTAGGGTTTAGGGTTTAGGGTTTAGGGTTTAGGGTTTAGGGTTTAGGGTTTTAGCCAATAGTAGTTGAACTTAAAAGTTTTTGCGTTTCCATTTACTTAGTAAGGATTAAAAACAGCTTATCGTTCTTTTTTGCCCCTTGGTTATGGGGGGAAGTAAGGCTATGGCTTTCGTGGTCCTACATCTTTTCCTGTCGGCGCGGGAGATCGGCTCCTGTGTGACGTGGTTGTTGCTGGGCACGCCCTGAGCCCGAGAAGCCTCCTAAAGCCTAAACCCTATACCCTAAAGCCTCAATTGGTTTTAGCCCCCGTAGCCGGAGAGCATGGGCAGAAGCGGGGGTCTACGAAATAGGGGACTACCAAAATTAAGAGACCCCCCAAAATCGTAGAGTTCCCTTTTAGCAAGAGCCCCAAACATAGCAAGGTACCCCAGTTCCGAAGAAACCCGAAACCCGAAACCCTAAACCCTAAACCCTTAAACCGCAAGTGGTGCTGAGGTTCACGCCCTCAGAGGAGGACCCCTGGGCCCAAAGGCTCGAAACTGCGATGGTGGAGTCGAGGAAGGCTAACATCTTCCAGTTTGCCCGGTACCTTGGTAGTAGAGCAGGTTTGGGTTTAGGGTTTAGGGTTTAAGGTTTAGGGTTTAGGGTTTAGGGTTTACATTGACTGAGCGCATGTGAGAGAGAGAGAGAGGGTTTAGGGTTTAGGGTTTAGGGTTTCACCTTTTTGGGGTAATTTAACCCCCTTCAGAGAATCCGAAAAAATCAACCTGTTTTGAGTTTCCCTGGGGACATTGGAGAAGGTACGGCTCCTTCGCTGGAGCTGGTGGGCTGACCTACTTCATCTACGCGTACTACACGAACCCCCGCATGAGTGAGGCGATTTAAGGGGGTAATTAAAGGAGGCTCCCCTAGAAGGGACCCTAGGAATCTGTAGAAGCTCACATATATATATATATATGTATGTCCCCTAAATAACCCCCCCAAAGAACCCCAAAGAACCCCTTATAAGGGTCCCTCCTTTTGTCCCTTGAGGCAAGCTTTGCCCTCGCAACCTTGGTCATGTATGTCCAGTACACGGCGATCTCAACCCGCGCGCTCGAGCTCACCATCGGCAGGGCGCAGTTCAGTTTCTGGGACCCTAAACCCTAAACCCTAAACCCTAAACCGCGGCTGTGGTTTCTTTACCTTGCCCCTGAAACTTCACTTGCATGAAGACTTAGTAGCTGAATGAGTACACTTTATGCTTTTTGAGATACGTTCATCTCCTATAGAACTGAAAGTGTACACTTTTCTTTGTGGGCTTATGACCTCAGCAACTGAGAAAACCCTCAACCCCATCGAAGAGCTGCATAGCAAAGCCTATCTAAAGCTCCTTTGCCGGCCCTAAACTCTAAACCCTAAAACCCTCAACCGCCCTCTAAACCCTAAACCCTAAACCCTAAACCGCCCCTGAAGAACAGGTTGCTGCCTTTTCTATGGACTCTGCTGTCTCTGCTACCTTGAGCTGCCATTCATTGAGCAAGTGCATATGGACGCCCAGGCCTTTTGCCGAAATCCCTCAGGAGGGGTTTAGGCCTTCAGGATACCCTAAACTCCTAAACTCCTAAACTCCTAAACTCCTAAACTCCTAAACTCCTAAACTCCTAAACTCCTAAACTCCTAAACTCCTAAACTCCTAAACCCTAAACCCTAAACTAAACCCTAAACCCTAAACCCTAAACCCTAAACCCTAAACCCTAAACCCTAAACCCTAAACCCTAAACCCTAAACCCTAAACCCTAAACCCTAAACCCTAAACCCAACACATTGAAGGGGGCAAAAAGGGCTGAGCATTCCGGTTGAGGGTTCTAAACCCTCACCCAACCTACGTATTCTTTCATGTTCTTGAACTATGGCTCCTGATCCCCCTCCTCTAAAGCTCGGTCACTCCATACCACGGAGGTTCCTTGAAGTGTCCTAAGAACTTGAATGACCGAGCTCCCTTCAGAGAGTTCGCTCCCATGAGCTTAGTTATCTCTGCCCTACCTACTGCTTTGGGGCTTAGCGGTACGCCTTGAAGCCCACTACAACTGCCATGTTCGACTTAAACTGACTTAAACCCTAAACCCTGAAGCCTGAAGCCTGAACCCTAAACCCTAAACCCTTCATTCCTGTTCTCACTCATAGTGAGCCTTCTTACCGGTAGCCGCAGGCCTTTAACGTCACCTTGGTGGCCATCCGCTTCATCCTTGCTGCCGTGGCAATCGACACAAGGCCCTGACGACCAAAGGGCTGTAAGCTCCGAGTTTAGGGTTTAGGGTTTAGGGTTTGGGGTTTGGGGTTTAGGGTTTGGGGTTTAGGGTTTAGGGTTTAGGGCATCACTCAGTTGCAAGTCATTCTGAGTCCAGGAGCTCGTAGGTCATTCAGATGGGCTCGGAGCCCCTTTAAAGTGAACGGAAAGCTGGGTTTAGGGTTTAGGGTTTAGGGTTTAGGGTTTAGGGTTTAGGGTTTAGGGTTTAGGGTTTAGGGCTTAGGCTTCCTTTTTCCTTCGTTCGTTGCTGGTGAACCTAGAAGCCGAGACTGTGACTCCCGCAGAGCAAGGCTTTCTGTGCCGTGGCAGCTGCTTCTTTCTGCCGGGCAGCTCCTAGTGCCCACACTCTTGGGGGCACAGGGGGGTGGGGTTTAGGGTTTAGGGTTTGGGGTTTGGGGTTTGGGGTTTGGGGTTTGGGGTTTGGGGTTTGGGGTTTGGGGTTTGGGGTTTGGGGTTTTGGGGTTTGGGGTTAGGGGTTTGGGGTTTGGGGTTTGGGGTTTGGGGTTTGGGTTTGGGGTTTGGGTTGTGTTTATTTGTGATCTGTTGGGGAGTCGGGGAGGTTTCGGTCTTCCTCAGCTCTGCAACAGAAGATGACAAAGTCTTTTTGAAAAAGCACTCAAATCGAAGAAGTAGGAACCCCCCGCCTCCCCCAAGCAATCAGGGACTCTCTATAAGGACACGGCCCCCGGAGCACCCAAAAATATTTTAGGGGGGGAGGACACCAAGGCCCCGCAAGCCCCGAAACCTTTACGGCCAAAAGGCTTGAAGCCGTCTAGCCTTCCAGGGCTGGAGCCACGGCCCTTAAAAGCTGAAGTTTGCAGGGCCTTAAGGCCTGGAGCTTTCCTGCAAAAAGCTGGTGATTACAGCGAGTGTCCCGAACAAACCTCCTAAAGCGAAATCGGGCTGGCCGGTGGGCTACCCATCACGAATCTTGTGAGCCTCGTTTCGTAACCCTATAAGGTCTTAGATGGAACTGCACGAGCTTAGCTTCCCGGCTTTTCCAGACTGCTGCTGAGGCCCTCAGGAGTCAGACAAACCCTAACCCCTTAACCCTAAACACAAACCTGAACCACAGACCCTTGAAAGTCTCTTGAAAGTATCCCCCCCCCCCCCAGAAAGAAATGTGATCATAGTGGCCCCAACAAGCTGAGTTCGCAGAATGAATGCAGGGTTTTAGGGTTTTAGGGTTTAGGGTTTAGGGTTTAGGGTTTAGGGTTGGACAATTGGTGATTATAGACGCAAGCCCCACCAAAGCCAGTGCAACTCTGCAAATAGCGGCCGAGAAGGGGCCACCTGAGGATACCGTAGGGCTGGGGCTCAACACCAGCAAGAAGGTAACCCTAAACCCTAAACCCTAAACCCTAAACCCCCTAAACCCCGTGAGCCGAGGCTTTGGGCAGATTTCAGTGGGCCCAATGGCGTCCGCCATCCGGCGTTTACCGTGTTTCTCCAAGGCTCCTAGGTAGGAGGATAAGGGGGGCCCTTAAAAGGGGACCCTTCTGAACCCTCTTCTGGCTCTCTTCAACAGGGATTTCATTCAGAGGGTCCATATACCCAATGGTCCCCCTAAACCCTAAACCCTAAACCCCAAACCCTAAACCCCAAACCATAAACCCTGAACCCTAAACCTAAGCCGTATATCCCCTAAAGGCGTCGTGCTGGGCCTGACCATCTTCGGATCCTACACGCTGGAGACATGCGTGCAATCCAACATCCGGGCCCAATTCCACCGCTCAGATGCGGAGTCCTTGCTCCTTGGGGACGAGATCCCTAAAAGAGTTTATGGGTTCATCGACCTTAATAGGAATTATAGCAATATAGCAAGAATTATAGCAATATCGTAATATAGCAATATAGTAATAGAGTAGTATAGTAATATAGTAGTATAGTATTGTAGTAATATAGTAATATTGGGGTCCTTTACCCTATACTACTGTATTGCTGTAGATTAATTATTTAAACCCTAAACCCTAAACCCGAAGCCCTAAAGCCCTAAACCCTAAACCCTAAACCCGAAGCCCTAAAGCCCTGAAGCCCTATATTATTTGGTCCCTAAGGATGGTCAGCTTTCGCCGGATGCTGAGGGGCATCTGTGATGGGGAGGTCTCTTAGGCTTAGGGGTACTTGCAAATCATTTTTTTAAAGTTTTTTTGCTTGCTAGTTTAGGGTTTAGGGTTTAGGGTTTAGGGTTTAGGGTGACTATAATCCCTAAGGGGCAGCTAAATTTTTAATTTCTGCTAGGGTGCCAAGTTCAGTAGAGGTCTTGCTAGACAGCAACCTTCGCATCCACAGCGCCTCTGACTGCTTGAAGCACCTGCTCATGACTAGCACCAACATGCACCTTCGGGATGCTTGGAAATTATTTTTTACTTTGGGCACTTTAATACCTAACAAACAGCTCTACTAAAATCATAACTTTTGCTAGGGTTCCAAGAAGGTACAGCTAGAATCAGAACTTTTCCTAGGGTTCCAAGTTCAGTAGAGGCATGGGAAGTCCTTTCAGCAGCTGCTTGATCCGAGAGACCTCCAGAAGTTCCGCAAGTTCATGGAAACCTCAGCAAGCACCGCGGCAGAGAGCACGAGCTCGCCCTCTTGCATCTCCATCCCCCTTTTTGGGAATTGTTTTTTTCTTTTTTTATGTTCATATAAATCCCAAGAGGATATTAAACATATTATTTTTGTTCATATAAATCCCAAGAGGATATTTAAAATATATTGTTTTTCGTTTTTATGAAGGTTCTAAGGGGAGTATAGGTATGCGGGTGTCCTTGCTGGGAGCGGCCAGCACTCGGATCAGCGTGGACGTGTTTCACGTCCCAATTTCCAAGCTGTATGGCTCCCACGACCCCTACCACCTCATTGCGCTCAAGGAGGACGGTGAGCATCGAGAACCTCCTGCCAACAATCACCCTCAGGCGCCTTGCCGGGCCACAGGAACCCTGAAATTGGGGTCACCTGCCCACAATACTACTCTAGCTCCTATGAAGGTATATGAACGCCAAACCCTCAAGCCTGGACCACCCTCCAGCCTGTAGACCCTAGACCCGAAACCTAAACCCAAAAGCCCTAAGCCTCAAACCCTAAACCGTAAGCCCTCAGCCCTAACGCTAAACCCTAAAACCCTAAACCCTAAACAGAAAAACCCTAAACCCTAAACTCTAAACCCTAAATCCTACCCGTTTAGGGTTCATGTCGTCAGGTAGAGATCCGACCTCAGCTCCCTCCTCGGCGCGCCAGCAGTGAGGCATCTGCAGGCGCAGCCATGGGCCTGCAAGGGCTTTTCAATGAGATTGTGGAGATCCTTGTTAACGGAAGGCTTTAGGGTTTTAGGGTTTAGGGATTAGGGTTTAGGACTTAGCGAGGCGAGAGCTCAGAAGCCTACTGCAAAAGGGTGTAGGGTTTAGTTTAGGGTTCAGTGTCCCTAAACCCTAAACCCTAAACCCTAAACCCTAAACCCGCAACCCCGAACCCTACTAAGGATGAGCTTGCTGGTGGATCCTTCGACCGCCTTTTGCGACGTGCGCCAGGTCTGAGGGCGAAAGGAGGGACCCTTCTAAGGGACCTTAGGGGGTTATTTAAGATTTTTTTGGGGGGCTTCTGAGGTATATATATATATGTAGTAGACGATTATAATTTTTTTGTTTCTTTTTTTGTAGGGTTTATACAGGAGATACAAAGGGGAATAAGACTATAGGGATACCCCTTAAACCAGGTCAACCTGCGATTCCGCAGAGGCCCTGGCGAGCGAGGTCCGAGCCTCCGGTCCACAGTCCTGCCGACGGATTGGGCCAGTATCTTCGTAGAGAACTACTTAGGGTTTAGGGTTTAGGGTTTAGGGTTTAGGGTTTAGGCTGGGATGTTCCCCCTTACACTAACAGTCCTTAATCTGGATTATGCTCGGGGTTACTTTCATCCCTATTCAGGATTGTTCGTACAAAGGGGAACATCCCACAGTACTGCTATTTGCTTAAGAACCCCCACTCCAAACAGAAACATACAAGAAAATCATCCCTATATTACCCTTAGAAGGAAGAATAGTGTTAATGTTTCTTTTGGGTGGGGGGGGGTTCGTAATAGTAGAGTAGGTAGCCTTTCGAACCTTTTGGGTGGTATTCTGAATCCCAAAGGTGAACCTTGGAGTTCCCTGGCTAAAAACACAAGACAACCAAGGTATCAAGGATGCAGTGACCCAGTTTGCCCAGAAAGAGGAGACGGGGCACGTGATGCTGCCTACGCGCCTGCCAGCGATCCGATGCCGAATGATGGATCAGAGCTCCAGAAAGTACAACCTGGCTCGCTTGGCGGAGTTGTCCTCGTACCTTGGGGACCAAATGAACCCCTAAAATTGGGGGTCATATACCCTGCGCTAAGTCAAATCCCTATTAGGGTATATGAACCCTAAACCCTGATAATTAGGGTCCTAACCCTAAATCCTAAACCCTAAACCCTAAACCCCTTTGGGTCCAAGGTATAGAGGCACTAGTGGCCGGCTCTGGCTTCGTCTTGGCGACCTTGTGGAGGGAAACGAGTCTCGCGAGTACCCGAACTTGCAACCGTCAGGGATGCCGATTCGTCGTCTTCGACGGGCTCAGATGTCTCACTCACCCTTCTCTATGCAGGGTTAAGCTGAACCTTCAGGTCAAGATCCCATCGGGAGTTCCCGAAGGGTTGTGGTTCGGCTTTGAGCACACATCATGGACGCGCAGCTCCCAGAAACGCACCAGATCTCACCAGTATGCGCATCAGACGAGCTAAGCCCACAATGTGCTTGAATGCGTTTCTGGGGCCTGAATGGAATTTCCTTGCTGATGCTTGGGAACCATGATCATCAGCGTCCTGTCTTTTGAGTCTTTTACTTCAGACCCAGACAAAAGGGTGTCATCATGCAACCCTCAACCCTAAACCCTAAACCCCAAGCCCCAAACCCTAAACCCTAGTTAGACGGATGGCAGAAAAGAAGCCCTAAACCCTAACCCTAACCCTAAACCGGGGCCAGCGATGGCCAGTGGAGGAACTTCTTGTCACGTGTGCCCAAGTCCATTCAATCCAGCACCACCCTGACGTCACCCTAAACCCTAAACACTAAACAAAAAACCCTAACCCCTACCCTTGGAGCATCGTACCCTTCTCAGATGATGGCGAACGAGGCATCCCAGCAGTCCTTGCGGTCAAAACTTTGGTTTAGGGCTTAGGGTTTAGGATTTAGGGTTTAGGGTTCAGGGTTTAGGGTTTAGGCATTTTTCAGAGCTTTTGAGAGGTGCAAGCGCCAGGGAGCAGTATTACTATCTTGAGAAGCCCGCAACCTACTCTGTTGCAGGCTATGTTCTGCAAGCCCCCTGGAAACCATAAACCCTAAACCCTAAACCCCAATCCCGAAACCCCCAGACCTCCAACCCCCTAAACTAAGTACCGGGGTTCGCAGGTGCCCTCCCAAGCAGGTTTTGGGGTTGCTGAGGTGTTGGGCAAACCTTGTCGAGCTCGAAAGGTGAAGCCCAGCAGGGTGGGCTTTGGGTTTTGGGTCTTGCTGCGTTGCTACCGTTTGCTTAAGAACCCCCTCAAAAATAAAGAATACGAATCCTTCTATCTTATCATTAACCAAAAAAAAGAGAGAATCCCCCAGACTGCCCCTAGAAGGAAATGAGCAGCCCTGCCCTAAGCCACGTTCTGTACAAACCGAGGAGAAGCTCCTGGCAGCCTTGAAGGACTTCAGCCGGCGAGCACGTTGATCAACAGAGAGTTTATTCTGTGAAGATCATAGTAGACTAACCCCCTTAATCACGGAATATACCTGAATTATGGGATATACCTTAATTAAGGGGTTTTGGAGTCTCTGGGTCAACAGTTGCCTCGATTTAGAGTTTCGTGCAAACCTGAACTCTCGAACCGCACACTCCAAGGTCGTAAAATTCTACCTTATGCTGTTTTTGCGCGCTTCGAGGCCAAGGGTGAGGCTTTACCTAGAGTATTCTTTTTCTACCATGCAACACAGACAATGTGCGTGAGTTGTTGGGAGCTCCTGTTTTTGCACCCGGCGGCTCCCCGGGTGGGTTTCTCCCAGTCCGAGGTTCGTATACCCTAAACCTTGATTCTACGATTTGCTTAAGAACCCCGAAAAAATATTCCTCATTGAGGGTAATATGGGATGATTCATATTTTATTCTTTGGGTTTCTTAAATGGTAGGATTGTGAACCCTGGAGTCGTCTACCCCAAGCTAGAGTCATGCACCCTCAGCCTTAAACTCACATGGGTGTTTCCGAATAAGGGGGTACCTTGCTGGGGTCCTTATTCCAAGAGGATCCTGCTATTTGGGGGAAGGTCCTTTTTAGGGGCCCCTTATTTTCGGACACCTTCACATCAAGAAAGCCAGCTCCTGGGAGCCGTCAAATGGTAGGGTTTAGGGTTTAGGGTTTCGGGTTTAGGGTTTAGGGTTTGGGGTTTAGGGTTTGGGGTTTGGGGTTTAGGGTTTGGGGTTTGGGGTTTGGGGTTTAGGGTTTAGGGTTTGTCTTGTTCTGCCCATTGAGCTTTTACGGGATGCATGAGGCCCTCCTTGGGGACCAACAGAAGAAGTCCCGAAACCTTAAAAATAGGGTCATAGACCCTATACTACGATCATTCCTATTTGAGATACATGAGCCCTAAACCCTAAACCCTAAACCCTAAACCCTAAACCCTGTTTGGGTTCACTTAGTCCCCAAGGCTAGCCTCCCAGGAGGTGACCCTTGCAGGGACAGAAGGCTCGAACCCTAAAATGAGTAGTCTCGGGTGGCCAGTGTGTGGGTGTAGGGTTTAGGGTTTAGGGTTTAGGGTTTAGGGTTTAGGGTTTAGGGTTTAGGGTTTAGGGTTTAGGGTTTAGGGTTTAGGGTTTAGGGTTCCGGGAGATGACTACAAAGCACTTGCAGCCAGTCTCCATCCGAACCTTCACACACTTTCAGCCCCTAACCCGAAACCCCTAAGCCCTAAACCCTAACCCCTTCAGCCCTTAACGCCCAAACTTCAGCCTAAAACCCTGAACCCTGAACCCTAAACCCTATCTCCCCCCCCCCCCCTTTCGGCTAAGCCCCTAAGCCCTATAACCCTAAGCCCTAAGCCCTAGACCGTAACTAAACCCTACTAAACCCTCAACCCTCAATCCTCCACCCTAGCCCAAAACCCTAAACCCCAAACCCCAAACCCCAAACCCCAAACCCTAAACCCTTAACCCTTAACCCTTATAAACCCTAAACCCTAAACCCTAAACCCTAAACCCTAAACCCTAAACCCTAAACCCTAAACCTAGCCTAAACCCTAAACCCACGCAGGAAGCAGAGCCGAAGTTGAAGCCTCCACGCTGTCGCCGGGCTTGTGCTGGAGCTGTGGGGTTTAGGGTAGAGGGTATAGGGTTTAGGGTTAGGGTTTAGGGTTTTGGGTTTTAGGGTTCGGGTTTAGGGTTTTTTTGCTCCTGCGGGGTTGGATCTAACCCTAAGAGCCCAAAGGCTATGTGCCACAACCCTTGCTTCCGAAAGAAGGTGTGATGTTTGTGTTTCTTGGGCTTGCGCTTTTCAGGGTTCTGCAGCAAAAGGGCTTAGGGTTTGAGAGTCAGGGTTCAAACCCTAAACCCCATAAACCCTAGGGTTTAGGGACTCTGGGTTCAAGGGGTTGAAGGGTTGTGGCAAGAAAAGAGTATCGGGATCTGTGGCTCGAGCCATCAGTCCATTCTTGGGCACCCAGTCTGGGAACTTCCTGTTGTGTTTGGGCGTACCACCGAAGGGCCTGTCGTTCATAGACCAGCCCCTATTGCTTTCTGTGCGTGCTTTTTTTTCTTGCAAAAAAGGGACTCAGCACGTGAAGGTAGTCTGCAAGGCGACGAAATGAATCCTGAACGGGCTTATGGTTCATATACCTCAATGGGAATTATAGTAGTATAGGGTCTACGACTTGGGATTTAAATCGGGATGAGAGTACCCCGGTGTATCACTTTCATTTAAAGCTAACCTTGGGGTTTAGGGTCCAGGGTTTAGGGTTAGGGTTCAGGCTTTAGGCTTAGGGTTTAGGGTTTAGGATTTAGGGTCTGTTCTTGCTTATAGCTCCCAGGCGATGTGTACATGAATCTCTCCGGCAAGAAGATCAGCGCTGGTACGCCTCCAGGACTTTTGTGTCACGAAGCCTGCGATTAACGTACTTAAGCATTCTAGAACAGGGCAGGATAATCACAGCCCTGATAGCAGGTTGGGAGTCTTAAGATAGACTTTCGCTGTCATACTAGTCGCTGTTGTACTAGAGGGTGGGTGGATTGACTTCCGTGGGCTTGCGATGAGAGAAACCCTAGACTCTAAATGCTCATGAAACCCAGCGAGATGTTGGAAGTCTTGGCGAGGTTCACGCCTCATTTGCAAGAAGTCAAACTTTAAATCGTCATAGCCCAAAACCCTGTGGACCCTAGAAGCTCCTCATAAGCCCTTATACCCCAACCCCTAAACCCGAAACCCTGTCGACCCTACAAGCCCTTATCAGCCCTGAAAAAGCCCATAAACCACCCTAACCCTAAACCCTAAACCCTAGACCCTAAACCCTACACCCTAAACCCTAAACCTTACACCCTACACCCTACACCCTAACAGCGACGTAAAAGCAACCGAGAAGCGCCTCCAGGAGAGCTCATCCCACTGCTAGCCGACCAGCTGGTCAACTGCGTCCTCTGGGAGCCGGCCATGTCTGCCATGATCCAGGAAGACCCGTAGGGTTTAGGGTTTAGGGTTTAGGGTTTAGGGTTTAGGGCTTTGGGTTTCGGGTTTAGGGCTTAGGGCTTATAGGCTTTAGGGCCATCCTGGGTTAACAAAGGGGCTAGGGTATGGAGTGAAAGGGTTTGCGGGCAGGAAGCTCGCGAAGGCGCGGTTCCCTTCTCGTAAGGGTTTTGTCGAGGTCACCCCACACGCAACCTTGCCCTAAACCCTAAACCCTATAGACCCGAACTCCTAGAAGCCCTGCAGAGAAAACGATGCCCCCCCCCCAAAAAAAAGGAGGGACTAACCCTAAACCTAAAGCCTAAACCCTAAAACCCTAAAGCCTAACCCCTAAAACCCTAAACACTAAACCCTAACCCCTAAACCCTAAACCCGAAACCCTAAACCCTAAACCCTAAACCCTAAACCCTAGCGCAGGAGGGCCTAACGGAGTTCTTCGAGTGCGGGCCGATGAAGCAGCTGAAGGCGATGTGGTGGCCTTAGCCACAGGGGTTTAGGGTTTAGGGTTTAGGGTTTCGGGTTTCGGGTTAGGGTTCCAGAAGAACCTTAACATTGGGGTGTAGGGCTTCAGGTTCCAAAGGCTTACAGAGTTTAGGGTTTAGGGGTCATATACCCTGTACTACAGTACTTCCTACAAAGGTAAGAGGAACCATAGACCCTTCTAGGGCCTGATGTCGTCCGACACATGTACCTTACACTTGCTGTTGGTTAGTAGGGAATGAGGGAATGAAGTACCCTATATAATCCCTTGAAGGGTATATAAAGGGTATATATAGGGGGATATAGGGTACCTCATTCCCTCATTCCCTACGAACCAACAGTAAGTACAAAGCCCATCCGAGTGGCCTTGGGAGTTCCGAGGATGAAGCGGATCGACACCGACGCCTTCGGCAAGACGGCAAAC